TTTTTTTTTTTTGTGAAAATAGGCAAGGGAGAGAGTAGTACTTCCGGCGCCAACGAAAATGATACGGTTTAGTAACAACCAAGAAAAGACCTTATATATCATAAATGAACGGGGTTAAAGCCAACTGTAGTTATCGTACTTTGAAAAAATGTTCATTACCGTCCCTCTACTAAGGAAATATTCAATGTCATCCCTCAACTATACTTTTTTTGTTCAGTGTCATCCTCAATTGGATGCTGTCCATGTTATCGTTTAAGTTATCCGTTAAGTGCTAACAATCAAACCTTCAAACTATTGTTTACTTATTTTTTTGTACACTTGTACTCACTAGTGGGACCATGAGACCCATTTCATGCATTTCCTTTATTTTTCTGTGTTCTTTATTGTAATCATCAAGTAAGTTACAAAGGAAATGGCGCAGAAAGAAGAATGATAACAGAGCTAGTGGCTTCGGTTTTTCGAGCCTCATCAAGATACGCCGACATGGGGTTAGCATTGGTCTGTGGGGAGTCGGCTGGGATCTCGTCGAGCCATTTTCCGATATAATATATCACCTTGGAGAAATCCAACGATTGACATTTGTCCCCCATCATGGTCTCCCTCTGCCACAGGCCCACACCCCATTGTCCCCGAACTCCTCCTCTCCATCACTCTCGCCCTTCTTCTTCTTGTGCGCGAACATGATCACCTTGTTGCTGATGGTTTTCAGCAGCTTCTTCAGCTTCATCGTCCTGAGTGTCGACTTGGTCGGTAAATGGAACCTCGGCAACTTAGCGGCGATGTCACTCAACAAGGCTTTCAACTTCTTTGAAGCCTGTTTAACGCTCTTGGAGCATAGAGCCATCAAACGTACCATAAATTTGGTCCTCAACTACTTCCACAAAGAGGAGTTTGGCTCTGGCGACCTCATTCTTTTTGAAAGAATAATTATAATTTGTGGGTTTATAGAAAATCTTAACACGAACGGATATATATATATATATATATATACATAGTAAAAATTTATTTATACATAAATTTTATACATAATATTTATATATAATTTTAATTATTCATCTTTTTATTTTTTATGATTGAAATTTATTTATATTTATTAAATATAACTATTATTTTGATGTAAAAAATTATGATAAATCTCAACTATTAAAAGTGAAAAGATAAATAGTTAAGATTTTGTGTTAGTATATAAAACTTGTATGTAAGTGAATCCTTCCTTATAAATGTATATGTGTGATGTCAAAAAATATATTTATCTTGCCGAATCTTATATATATAATTAGGTTATCTTATTGTAATTTATGTAAAAATTTAAAAAATAATTATCAAATAATCTTATTTTATAATATAGTATCATAATCTTATGATATAGGAATTTTAAATATTATATGTTTTATTGATGGAGGCCACGAATAAGTAGAAAACTTGTGATTAGTGTAATAATTCATTGTGTGACAAAAGTATCTACATTAGTTTCCATTGTTTAAGAAACTAACATAGAGTAATATAATACTTAGCAAGCATGATAAATTTAATTAATTAATTTATGGTATATATCTTTTTTTCCAGGCAGCTCTTCCTCAAGCCATTGTCACATTTGTTTTTGCAAAGGAGTACAACGTCCATGTTGACATATATACAAAGCACAACGTAAGAATTTAATTTAATTGATCTTTTCGTGAATTGGTTTTTCCATTTTTTTTTAAACAAGTAATGGTGAAACAGAAACTAATTAGAGGTCATGTATAAAAAAAAGATAGTGTTGGTAAGTCATCTTTTTAAAAAATTTTTAAAAGATTTGTCTAAAAATTCACATTTTAATTAATATTTTTAAAAATCAATCATTAAATTGTAAGTTTTATTCATATATATCATGTATATCAAATCATGTTAATATAATATTAATAACCATTTAATTAAAAAAACTTTATTTGTTGACATGCATTTAATGATATTAAATTTCTTATAATTAATGAAGTAATTGAACCTATTAAAACAATTTGAAAATTAGTATGTACAATTTACATTAATAAAACTTTTAATCTAATGGTTAATTTTTTTAAAAATTAATTAAAAAATAAATTTTTAAATGTATCATTCAAAAAATATTTTTTTTAAATGACCTGTAAAATACTTTTTCAGATATAAAATTAATTTTTTGTGCAATTACCTGTCCTATTTTCCATGTTTAACATAAATATCTATATAAACATGATACATAGTTACTTGTAATATATTATTAATTGATTCATCACAGACAATTAGCACAAGGCCATCATCATCAAATCTCTTTGCAAGATGTTTATATCATACAAAATCTATTAAACAATCTATATCTATATTTAACCCTTGTAATTTCTCTTTCAAAAAAGTAGGTTGAAAATAACTAGATTACAACCATATGCTATGAAAAGTATTATTGATGCACCGAAGCATTGGATCACTAATAAATTTGCTCCTATAATTTAGGTATATACCATATTCAATAGAATTAGCCATTTCATAAGACTTACAAACATTTAGGATTACATCTTAAAAAAAATAAATCAATAGATTCTACTATGGGTAATGAAACCTAACATAAAAAATTATTAAAGAGTGCATTGTTTAAAAGAAAAGCATACATAAAGCAAAGATTATCAGTTGCTTATCTTTGAAAACCTTCATAAGCCTCGACAATTTGCTCCAAGTTTCTTGTGCGTATCTTGTACTTTGTGATTCTTATACATTGAGTTTTTCACAATTTGGGAAATAAAGAGAAAGTGGGTTAAAAACTCCACTCCTGTGATGAACACTGGACACTAGGTGGGAGCAAAAAATATTTTTTGCTGCTTATTTTAGCCCCTCTTTTTTTTGCACCAATTTCTGTTACCATTTTTTTTTTCAGGCCATTTCCTCCGTAACTTGATGATAACATAACAAAAAAGAAAAGATGACGAAATGCATCATATGGGTCCCACTAATGAGTATAAGTGTACAAAAAATAAGTAAACAATAGTTTGAATATTCGACTGTTAGCGGTTAACATAAACGGTAATATGGACGGCATCCAATTGAGGATGATATTGAACAAAAAAAAGTATAGTCGAGGGAGGACATTTATACTGTATGCCAAGTAGAGGGATGGTAATGAACATTTTTTCAAAGTATGAGGATTACAGTTGCCTTTAACCCTAAATGAACGAGATCCTCAAAAAGAAACTCCAATCAAAAGCAAAATGATATTTAACCCAAAGCAAAATGAAATATACAGAATTAACAAAAAAAAAAAGTATTTTACTGTTTAAAACAGTTTAAA